TGATTCGATACAGGATCCGATTCAATTTGATTGGAATCTGGAAAGTTTTGCCTCAGTCAGAAATATTACAATTCTGATCATGTATCAGTATATATCCATAATTTCGTATCTATTAAAAGAAAGCTGACACATGTGAGCCTTAATTAGAGATGTAAACAGAGAGTTATGAAACCTGCAGCTGCAGAAGCCAGCGAAGAAAAAAGAGGCAAACACAGCGCGGACCCGACGACGCACCAAAATCTGATTCTGACGTGTCGGGTCAGCGCTCTGTGTTCACGCTTGTATGCAGAATCCGTAAACCTGCTCCCAGTTACTGTTTTAGCTGCATGGTGTTTGACGACATGTTGTGGGGTTTAACCTGATATGCTGGCGTTTCAGGCATAATAACGTTAATTTACAAATCGACACAGGATTGTAATGAAAAATCAATATCACTTCATTCAATTTAGCATAGATTGTAATCAGAAAAGCGATAATCAAAACCCACCTTTAATCAAGAACTTGCAAAGTAAAAACATGATCTATGTCAGGTAGCCCTTTTGTTATTTACATTTAAAAAGAGGATTAGTGTTACTGTGTGCTGGCTGAGTCTGTTTCTTTTCTTAGAAATAGTTTCTCCTGCCCTGGAGAAAATCCACTTGCATGGAACAGAAGAGGCTGTGGAGTGCAGGTACTACACTGCAAGCTGGTAGATATGCAGGTATTCCTGGGTCCTGCAGACTATCACCTAAAAACAATAAACAAAATGATTTTCTAAACTGTGTAGCAATGTAATGTACGTATGGTGTCAAATACATTTTGTAGTCTTCATCAGCTTTAATTCACATGGAAGTGTTCCTAAAGTCATATGCTGTAATGATATTTCCATTATGAAAACATGATTTTGGACATTTCAGGTGTTTCACTTCGGCAGATAAAATAAATTGACCAAAATCAACTCAAAATATTCCCACACGCCAGAACGTCCTCTCTTCCTTGCTGGCTCCATATCTGTCAGTGGAATGATCACCTCTTCGCTATCTGTCACCATCAACACACTCCACGAATCCCGTGGATGATTCACTTCCTTATATCCGTTTGAATCAGGTACCGAAGCAGTTACGTGCGTAATGAAGCTTCGCATGTCACTGGTCACGTGACTTTTGCCAAACGAAGCAAGCCTCGACACAGTGCTTCTGAACCAGTGTGTTGTTTTTTTCGACACACGCTCCGGAGCGTCAGCTTCAAGCGGGCCATCACTAACTGGTATTTTCAGATTAGTTATTTTATCTTCAGCAATAAAGCTGTTTCTGGAATACACTTTTTGCCTCCTGGAGTCTGCACATTGGGTCCTTCTCTCCTGCTGCACACATCACATAACAGAAGTACAGAACATGGACCCAGCAGACTCGGCTTGGTATCAGCAGTTCGCAGTTTGTGCCTTCCCCAAGGAGAGGGTGAGGCAGGAGCTCGAGTCTACGGTTGTTTTTTGGCTCGGGGAGCCCCCCCCGATTATATACTCACCTCGGAGACTTTTGGAATTTCATTTCTGAATGAATTGTCAGGGGTTGCATGTGGAGGCGAGGACTGGTGATTTATTGCAGAGCACGGAGGAATGAACAGAACATGAGATGGCTGACTTACTGGCCAAATGAAAGACTGACTGAATGGCTGACTGAGTATACGGCACACACGGGAATGACAACGTCAATGACAGGATGGTGAACAAGTGGAAACAGAAGACTTAAATACAGACTGATGAGGATGATAATGAGAGACCAGTGAGTACACAGCTGAACATAATCTGGCTAATGACACATGGAATGAGATGGCATGAGAACAAGTGAAAAATACAGTGAACATGAATGAACTGAAAATACTGGGTGAGCAACCCAGGAACCATGACAAGAATTAGACAGGGAGAACTGTTTTCCTTTCGCTCCTTCTGAGCTGACAAAAGACAATCATATAATTCCCTCTTACTTTTGCTGTTTTGCTTCTACAAAGATAAAAATCACTCTTCCTGTACAGCTCTCTCTGTTTACTTCAAGAACAGTGTTCTATCTCAAATCTCTGTTTTCTGCATTATTCATTTGCTTATTATGCGCAAGTCATGTATATCGCTGTTGGCTGCTGTTTTTGTTTGTTGTTGTTTTTTCCAAAAATGACTTACAATAACAAAGCCTCGTTTCTGCTGTTTAAAGCAAATTTTAACTTTTTTAAATGATGCCAACTTGCAAAACACTTAGCTGTGCATGGATATCTGTTGACGGTCTTTGTTGGCAGCGGATCACATGCTAAAACACCCAGAAAATGAGTCCCCATTACTAATTCTTTTAACATTCCTGGTTAGTCCTATAGTACTCATTTTTGAGTCTTTAGTACAGGGGTGCCCAATCCCGGTCCTCAAGAGCTACTATCCTGCAGCTTTTAGATGCATCCCTACTCCAACACAGCTGAATCAAATGGTTTGATCTCTTCAGCATGCCATCATGTTTGGCAAAGGCCTGATAACAAGCCATTCATTTGATTCAGGTGTGTGGGAACAAGGATGCATCTAAAAGCTGCAGGACGGTAGCTCTCGAGGACCGGGATTGGGCACCCCTGCTTTAGTAGTAGGCCAGTAGTACTTGTCTCATGTTCGATATCTCAGTGACTGAATCAAAAACAGAATAACAAATGAGTGTGACTGTACGATTTCTGAAACGGGTTTCTAACCTTATGTTGCTCATTTTAATTAACAACACATTCCCTGAATGACCTACATCAGCTTCCAGCTTAAAGCAGAACAATAAGTAACCGGCACCAAAATCCTCATAAGCAGAGCTATCAGTTCCTGAGGGTGTAATATTTAAAGCCATTGTGTCTACAAATCACTACAGACCAATGTGTTATGTTTCGGTGTTGTCAGTGTTTTGTTTTTGCGGGACTGTTATGTGTTTCCTGTTTTACGTTGAAGGTCTGTTGTATCTCAGTGTGTTCAGTTCACCCTTTTTTGTCTCGTCAGGTCTAATTTGCCCCAGCTGTGTTTCCCTCCTGTGGTCCATTCCCTGATTGCTCCTTCTATGTATATAAGCCTTGTGTTTCAGTTTGTCATGGTCGCGATCTCTCCCCCCTGGTTGTAAATAGTTTGGTGATGTAAATAAATGTCCTATTTTGCTTTGATGTAAATAGTTGTCGGTACTTTCGTTTTTGGGATTTTTGGTGGAGTACCTTAGTGGTTTTTTTTTTTTTGGTTTGTTTTTTTTTTTCCTTATTTTTATTTTTCCTGTGTTGCACGCCGGTTGCCTAGGCCGGGGTGTAACAAATGTAAACAGTATCACTGTTTACAGTATCTCTGCCAAACACAAACATGTGTTTTTAGCAGAGAAAAGGCTTAAGATCATTTCTAAACACTTTATGTGAGGATTGAGTGAAGAGATTTTAGGACAGAGTCAAAGTTTTAGCAATGTGCTCACAGCTGTGACCCACCCACACATTACAACAATGCACTTGTGTTGATAATATTTTTGCCCATCATTCCAAAAAAACAGACACTCATAGAAGCAGTTACCGCAGCCACAACAGATGCTAAAAATTGCCTGTTGAGTGTGGAGTAAGTGCATATGAGAGCATGAGGGGGGGAATGGATGTTTGTATCTGTGTGTGCCTGTATGTCTGTGTCTATATGTCAGGTTGGGTATCAGACGCCACCTCTCTGGGGACATCTCAGGCCGTCCAAGGTTTGGAGGCCTATCTCCCCCCACCACCACTTCCCTGCCAGTGGCGGACCCCCTCAGACATCGGTGTGTTGGTGGTTCTTTGTGTCTGGGGATGGGCGTCTAGGTACACACCGGCTCACTCCTTGGCGGCCTGGATCCTGGGGCTCGCTCGGGCCACTTCGGAGGTGGGATGCTCGGTCACTCAGGCACAGCTGGCTGCTGGCGGAGCTCACGGGCGCGTCACTGCAACCCCCCCTGGCTTCTGCTCCACGGCTGCTGAGTGACCCCTCATCTGGGACTCTCCTCAGCTCTTACTGGAACAGTGGCGCGGCTGCCCCTCTTTTGGTCTTCCTTGGTCTCTTGTGTTCTGGGGGCCTCTGGATGTCTGAAGTTTTAATCTCCTCCATACCTGCTTTATGCCCTGGAGGACGGGGCTGTGGCCCCCCCACACCCTCTAGCAGATCATTACATGAAGGAACCTTTTAACAAAACAAGCGCGTCCATGCTCACAGGTGTACACACGGGTGATCACACCCACAAACTACACCCTTTTTGGCTCCTACCTCAAAGCACACTGTGTTCTGTTGATCTTATGTGCTGCACAATAATGTTTAACATTTAGTATTTACTGTCATATTCCCAAATATCATTGTGATGTTGTTTATTCTATTACTCTTGTTCTCTTCTGCTTGTTTTCTTTTTTCTTTCTCAACAGGTGATCCAGGTGATCGATAGATGCATTTCTTTTTCTTTGTCTGCCCGTTCTGTTGGTTTTTGTTTTTTGCCCTTCTCCCCCGTCCCTCTTCTCAGCTCTTTCTCTTTCTTTCTCCCCTTCTTTCCCCCAGTCAAGTCTGTCCCGTATTCAGCAAGTGAAAATAAAATAAACAATAAAAGGTGAATCAAATGGACCATTACGGCAAAGCTGGGATGGCCAATTTGGTAAAGTAAATCCGTTGGGCATCTTTCTTTGCCTTTAGACAATAATTCTGATGGCAAAAGAGCCAAACGGGACAGGCAAAAAAAAATAAAAATTGCCTGCTGCAAGCCTTAGGGAATAACATTTGTGTGATTCATTTACAAATTCTTCTCTTGAAAGGTAAACTCTTATAAATAAATTTGCCATAAGGCTGGGGGTTAAAATATACCCCCAATCATAAAATTGAGGTGAACTGTAGTGAACTAAAATGCCCTTTTGTAGTCCAGCTCCTGCACATCTGTAGATAATTACAGGGCTTCACCACAAGGAGGAAGCAGTTCTGAGTATGCCAGGATACTACAAGTCTTTACCACAAGGTAAAGTTTTTCAGACAAGAAAGAGACTGCAGACTGATCACATCTCACAACTACTCTCTCCACTTTCTTTGTATAAAACAGGTTAGTGTTTTCTGATCTCAACACATTTATAACGACACAAAACTCTTTTCTATGTTATTATAATGAAGTTTTTATTTTATCATTATTTCTATTTTATTTTTTCTCAAATGTAGCTCCTAGACACTTTTGATAGAAATTAGGACAGAAAGTCTTGAATAGATTGACAGATCTAATTTCCATATGATAGAATGATCACTCATGTGATTCACTACTTTAAATAAGGTGTCGTGTACTTTTATTTTGGGAAATGGCTCAATGTGTTTTTATTTATTTCTGTTAGTTCTTTTTACATAAGATTAAACAGATGGTTTTAAAAAGATTACAAATTAGGTAATCTCAGTGTTAGCATTGCTGCACAGATATATTGGTTAAGCTGGACCAGTGCAGAGTTAAGCTGCAACTTTCGGATGCGACAGATACTTTGAAATCAGACAGAAAACATTAACCTCCTAAGACCTGGCGTCCACATATGTGGACATCACATTTTGGGTTGTCTCGACCAGTGATTCCCAAACTTTTTCCAGCCACGTACCCCTTGAGACATGTCACCCTCAGCCGCATACCCCTGCTACGAACGACTCTTAATTAGTGTCTATACATTGCAATACCGCATGCATAAAAATAAATACTGCACAGTCTTATTTCTCATCACAAAATGAATTTATTAATATATTTTAGTTATGACAGAATTTTAATAACGAACTTTACTACTTAATACTTGCAGTTTATCAAAAGATTTATTAGAATTCACCGTTTTGTCGAGAGCATAAAGGCCATATATGAACTTTCATTAAACAGAACTTTATTTAATGTGATGGATGTGCTTGAGCAGAGGCACACAGCTCTTCGATGTTTGGCTCAATTTGGGAAAGACTGAGTCTTAAATCGTTTTCCACACAAAGTCTTGCTCTGTATTTTGTTTTCATGTTTGTTAAAGCAGAAAATTCCCTTTCGCATAAGTATGTGGTGGCGAAAGGCATCGGTCTTTGCAGAGCGCTTAGCCAGCGCGGGCTGTTCAGTGCGCAGCCCTATCCAGAAACCCGCCAGGGTCTTTTGAGCGTGTTCAACTTTTAGAGATCCATCTGTGGCGATCTCAATTAGGCTCTCCTGATCGGACGGCGATAACGAAGTAGGCACGGCGGTGAACGGGTGACGTATCCAATCATTTGAGCCATCCGTCTCTGGGAAGTATCGGCGTAACTGCACCGCCAGCTCCTCAAGGTGCACATTACATTCGCACTTTCTTACTACAGCGGAAAAGGAGTTAAATATATTAAAAAACTGGTTTGATGTAAATAAGTTATCATTAAATATAAAGAAAACAAAATTGATTATTTTTGGCACTAGACAAATGAAAACTGTATCTAAAATAAGGGTTAATGGAATTGAAATTGAAAGAGTGTACGAAAATAAATTTCTTGGAGTGATAATTGATGATAAGCTGAGTTGGAAGTCTCATATAAACCATGTGAAAACAAAAATGTCAAAAACCATTGCTATTCTCTATAAAACAAAGCATGTCCTGAACAAAAAATCATTATACACACTTTATTGTACTCTGTTGCTTCCATATATGACTTACTGTCTGGAGATATGGGGTAATGCATATAAAACGAACACTCTTCCTATTTTCAAGTTACAAAAAAGAGCTATACGAATTATAAACCAATCAAACTATATAGAACCAACTAACATTTTGTTTATTAATCTGAATACCCGGAAATTTTATGATTTAGTTGAATATAAAATGGCACAGATAATGTATAAAGCACAAAATAACTTGCTTTGCCCCAGTACTCAGAAGCTGTTCAAAGTCAGAGAGAGTCAATATGACTTAAGGGGAACAGATTTCTTTAAAAAAAAAACAAGATAAGGACAAATATAAAGCAGAGATGTGTTTCTGTTAGAGGAGTTAACCTGTGGAATAGTTATGACAGTGATTTAAAAAGGTGTGGTTCATTTTCCTTGTTTAAAATCATGTTTAAAAATAGAGTATTAGAAAAATATATAAATCAAGAATGAAAAGAGCAAAAGAAAAAAAACCCCTCTTGATTCTTTTGATTTGATGTAGTTACTTAACTAAGGTGGAAAGTTTTTTTTTTTTGTTTGTTTGTTTGTTTGTTTGTTTGTTTGGTTTTTGCTTTGTTTTATTATTTGCTTCAAGCCCTGTGTACAGGAGCTGCATGCAAAAAGATATTTTGTGAAAAGGGTTGGCGTAATAAGCAATGCTTCAGCCAATACCTTTTGATTAGCCTTGTCTCATGCTTTCTTGCTTTGTGGTAGATCTTTGTTCTGTTTTCGCTGAGATATTTGAATGCTAATCAATAAAAAATCAAAAAAAAAAACTTTACACTTTTTAATAGTGTGAGATCATTAGAGCGCAGAAAATTATGCAGCACGGGAAAGACTTCAGTGTTGTTTGTATCCATGCAGTTCTTCCAAAGGTTTAACTTCTTTATCATGGCCTCAACTTTATCTTGGACATTGAATATAGTTGCAGAAACGCCTTGTAATCCGAGATTGAGCTCGTTCAGACGAGAAAATATATCACACAGATAAGCCAGGCACGTAAGGTACTCTTCATCATGCAAATGTTTAGACAGCTCAAAGGGATGGTTACTGAAGAAAACTTTAAGTTCATCCCTCAGCTCAAAGAAACGGGTCAGCACTTTCCCTCTGGATAGCCAGCGAACCTCTCTGTGGAGTAATAATGTCTAAGCTGCTTAACACTGCAGCGCCCGGATTACTTGCGTTGCCAGCTACTTCCGTGTGTAACAAGTGTCACCTGGCAGTTTGTTGCTCTCTGCCAGGTGATTGGCTGAAGAGCTGTAAAAAGGTACTGGGTGTGTGGGGTAGTGATGGGCAGATGAAGCCTCATGAAGCACTGAAGCTTTTCATCCAATTGGTTCACCCCAACGCGAAGCTTCTTGAAGCTTCATTTGCTCTAGTAGGACACCTACTGGACGTAAAAATATTAGTTGGCATGAATTTGAAGAGTGTGGCCTTTTGCACACAGCCTGTAAATGTCAACACCAAAAGGAGTGTGTAAAACATGTATATTGTAGTGATGCAGTATACTGTGTATATTTATGCTGGCAGTATGGAAAATGATTATTTGGAAATGCCTAAAATGGAAATGATCATATACTGTGAGGTGAGGTGTGGACAGTGGTTGTGCTTTTGTAACATTGAGGCAAGGACAGTGATTAGTGTTTAGGGGACACATCATTGGTTTTTATTTAAAAATAACAGTTTCTCCACTGTGGCAGGTCGTAGGCGATTTCTTTTTTTTCTAAACTGTCTCTAACTCTCCATCAAACACCCACATTTTGAATGAAGTCTGAGGGGTTTATATCGCTGTCATAGCTCGCGGCAAAGTTCGAACCGCTTCCTGAACCAGTCACGTGGTACAGCCGGGCAGCGAGGCTTCGGACGTCATCATTTTCAGCTCCTCCCATAAATGAAGCATGCCTCGATACGCGCTTCGCGGAAACGCCCCCTCCATTACTTGACACACGCTTCGAAGCCTCGATACAGTACGTCACATCACTAGTGTGGGGTGAAGTCAGCGCTCTTCTGTGGAAAAAACCAGAGGCAATTAATTCACTCAGGTGCGAGTGGGTATACTGTCGGTAAGAGACTTTTGCCATTATTGTTTGGATCGTTTGCTATTGCATGTGCCTGTTTTTAAGGTGTCATTGGACTTTTTCTTAGTGTGACCACGAATTTTAATAGAAGAATTGATCAAGTCCTAGATCGACTGCGCGCAGGGAAACTGATCAATATTTTAGGTATATTGTTTGTTTTAGCTTCATGATTTTGAATGGTTTTATAAAATTGCTATTTTATTGGGTAATATTTTAATTGATAATGTTGTTTGTTTTTCAGTTGTGCTGTCTCTGCTGTCCTTTTTTCGTTCTTTTGATTGATTTGTAATTTTGTTTTGGTTAGTCCGTCCAGCCGTAAAGGCGGTTATTGATTGAGAGTAAGTTGTGTAAGGGCAGACTAACCTTCCTTTTTGTTTTTTTTGTTTAATTGTTTGTGCCACTTCCCTTTATCTCCCAGATCGCAGGTCATGCATAGCATGTGTTAGCCCTGTGACAGACTGGCGACCTGTCCAGGGTGTACCCTGCCTTTCGCCCTATGACAGCTGGGATAAGCTCCAGCGCCCCCCGCGACCCTGAAAAGGATAAGCGGAAGCGAATGGATGGATGGATGTTTGTGCCACTTCCCTTTATCTCTCAGATCACAGGCCATACATAGCACTGATTCCCAGGTGCGCTGAGACCCGAATTGTTTGCAGTGTGTGCCACGATTGCAGTGTCGCTAAGCGGGGTGTGACGGTTTGCAGTGTTGTTATTTTCACACAGTTTGTGTGGTAAGTCTCATGTGCAGCTGGGATATCAGCAGGATGTGTTGTAAGTCCTGTCTGGAAATGACTGGGAATTATGATCAATTATTTCTTTGCCCCATTTACTCATCCCTTGTCCTCGGTTACATGTGCAACTGATATAACGTGGGGGGGGAAAAAAACCCAAACACATTAATGCCTTTGTTATTAGGCAAAGGTGTGCATTTATGGAGCTTTAACGTTTCTTGTAACCGAATTATGACGCTTATCAGAAGGTTGCTTTCAGTGTGTAGCGCAGTCAAGAATGACTACACGCATCACGATGGAATAATTAATGCCTACAGGTTTAGTATGTCTACTCTCGTTGTTCATATTTGTTATTAAGACTGTCGAATAGTAGTTAAAACAATAAAGACCTATTGTGCCAGTATCACCATGACTCTTTCCTGTTTGTTCAGAATAACGACTGAGAACATGGCATTTTAGCGCTACCAAAAAGTGATTGTGGCCTATAACTTGTCACTGAAACAATATTTCGGCTTCAAACTTGTTGGATATATTCCAGAAGGGTTACATGTGATATATTATATCCCAAAAACTCCAAGAACTGCTGAATAACTTGTACAGGAACAATAAAACTGATAATATGCCATTTTCAAGCTGCCAAAAAGTGATTGTGGACTATAACTTGTCACTGAAACAATATTTCTGCTTCAAACTTGGCGGATGTCATTTAGAAGGGTCATATGTCAAATATTACATCTCAAACAGTCCCTCAGAACTGCTGGATAACCTGTAAAGGAACATTAACATTGATAATATGCCATTTTCAGCCTGCCAAAAAGTGATTGTGGCCTTATCCCCTTATCTATAAGACAAGGCACTATGTGTGTACATATATATATATACACACACACAGGGAGTGCAGAATTATTAGGCAAGTTGTATTTTTGAGGAATAATTTTATTATTGAACAACAACCATGTTCTCAATGAACCCAAAAATCTCATTAATATCAAAGCTGAATGTTTTTGGAAGTAGTTAGTTTGTTTTTAGTTTTAGCTATTTTAGGGGGATATCTGTGTGTGCAGGTGACTATTACTGTGCATAATTATTAGGCAACTTAACAAAAAACAAATATATACCCATTTCAATTATTTATTTTTACCAGTGACACCAATATAACATCTCCACATTCACAAATATACATTTCTGACATTCAAAAACAAATCAGCGACCAATATAGCCACCTTTCTTTGCAAGGACACTCAAAAGCCTGCCATCCATGGATTCTGTCAGTGTTTTGATCTGTTCACCATCAACATTGCGTGCAGCAGCAACCACAGCCTCCCAGACACTGTTCAGAGAGGTGTACTGTTTTCCCTCCTTGTAAATCTCACATTTGATGATGGACCACAGGTTCTCAATGGGGTTCAGATCAGGTGAACAAGGAGGCCATGTCATTAGTTTTTCTTCTTTTATACCCTTTCTTGCCAGCCACGCTGTGGAGTACTTGGACGCGTGTGATGGAGCATTGTCCTGCATGAAAATCATGTTTTTCTTGAAGGATGCAGACTTCTTCCTGTACCACTGCTTGAAGAAGGTGTCTTCCAGAAACTGGCAGTAGGACTGGGAGTTGAGCTTGACTCCATCCTCAACCCGAAAAGGCCCCACAAGCTCATCTTTGATGATACCAGCCCAAACCAGTACTCCACCTCCACCTTGCTGGCGTCTGAGTCGGACTGGAGCTCTCTGCCCTTTACCAATCCAGCCACGGGCCCATCCATCTGGCCCATCAAGACTCACTCTCATTTCATCAGTCCATAAAACCTTAGAAAAACCAGTCTTGAGATATTTCTTGGCCCAGTCTTGACGTTTCAGCTTGTGTGTCTTGTTCAGTGGTGGTCGTCTTTCAGCCTTTCTTACCTTGGCCATGTCTCTGAGTATTGCACACCTTGTGCTTTTGGGCACTCCAGTGATGTTGCAGCTCTGAAATATGGCCAAACTGGTGGCAAGTGGCATCTTGGCAGCTGCACGCTTGACTTTTCTCAGTTCATGGGCAGTTATTTTGCGCCTTGGTTTTTCCACACGCTTCTTGCGACCCTGTTGACTATTTTGAATGAAACGCTTGATTGTTCGATGATCACGCTTCAGAAGCTTTGCAATTTTGAGACAGCTGCATCCCTCTGCAAGATATCTCACTATTTTTGGCTTTTCTGAGCCTGTCAAGTCCTTCTTTTGACCCATTTTGCCAAAGGAAAGGAAGTTGCCTAATAATTATGAACACCTGATATAGGGTGTTGATGTCATTAGACCACACCCCTTCTCATTACAGAGATGCACATCACCTAATATGCTTAATTGGTAGTAGGCTTTGGAGCCTATACAGCTTGGAGTAAGACAACATGCATGAAGAGGATGATGTGGACAAAATACTCATTTGCCTAATAATTCTGGTGTGTGTGTGTGTGTGTGTGTGTGTGTGTGTGTGTGTGTGTGTGTGTGTGTGTGTGTGTGTGTTCCTTCTTACCACACAAGAAACAGATCTTTCAGAAAGGATGTGCCTATAATAAAGCCTCCCCCAGCACCAGAGTAGCTGGAGAGTTGGTCAGAAACAAAGGGATGTCTTTGATCATGCTGCTTGAACTAAGACTTTACAAATTTAAGAAACACAATGACAACATTTAACAATTTGACTCCAACACATACTGTACCCTGTTAAGTGCCAGGAGGATTTCCAGGATTTATATATCGGGGAAACCAAACAACCTCTTGCGAAGTGGATGCCATAACACAGAAGAGCTACCTTGTCAGGCCAGGACTGCTCATTCTATTTACACCTACAGGCCAGTGGACACTCTTTCAATGATGAGGATGTACACATCCTGTACAGGGAGGAACGCTGGTTTGAGTGGGGCGTTAAGGACGCCATTTATGTAAAAAGGGAAAGACCATCTCTGAATTGAGGAGGGGGCCTAAAGGACATTAGTTGCATCCTATCATTAAGTCTAAGGGCTTGTTTTGAGTATCATTGTGATAATAAACAGTTTGGTCTTGTTTGCAGCGTGATGACGTGATTCTGTATGGTCATGTGTTATCACATTGTTAAATCCTGTGTTTTGTGTGTATCTACAGAACGGATCAGATCCTCTTTCAAGAATATCAAGGTGTGAAGATGCTTCAGAGGAAACTATTAGTTTTTTTTGTCTTGCTGTGTGCCACTGCCATTGGAGTCTTTTCTAGAGCTTCGTGGATTTTAAATGTGTACCAGGATTTCTTCCCCCCTCAGAATGAAAGTGTTTGTGCCTGCAACAAATGTTTAATGGAATATGACCCATGGCTTAGTGAACTTATGAAAGAATCTCCTGAGCCCTTTCTATCACCCACAAACAATATCTCAGAGGATACATTTAATTGGTGGAAGGTAAATGTTAACTTCTGTATTTTAAACGTATGTATGTAGGTGTGTATACTTTTTTACTGATTTCAAAGACAAGTCGTTATCATCTTTTTAACCAAATTTCCAGTGCTAATAGGGATGGGTTTTTTTTATAAATATACTCTCAGAATAATCAGTTAGTAAAAAAAAAAAAAGCTAGTGAACTCAACAAAATTAATTAATTACTTTTGTTATGTCAGAACATACAGACAGACAGACGCAACTTCACTTTCTACAATAAAACAGTGGACAAGGTTTTTCAGATCTTCCCAACCAAAGTCAATTTCACAAGATCCAGCCCTGACCTTTGTAGAACTTGTGCTGTGGTTGGGAATTCTGGTAATCTCAATGGATCGCGTTATGGACCACTGATAGACTTTCATGATATTGTCATAAGGTAAGAGTAGAACATACTGTTTTGAAATCTTCATGCATGTGTTATCTTTAAATACCTGTAAGCATTGCTAAAACCTTTAAAACTATCTTATTCAATTGAATAAGATATTTTCTTTCCCCAGTATGGACATTCATTCTACATATATCATCCAATAGATGATAATATGAACAATATATCCTCTGTGCTTTTTAGAATAAACCTTGGGCCCACAAAAGGCTTTGAAAGAGATGTTGGAAACAAAACAACATACCATGTGATGTATCCAAGGAGTTTCAAAAAATTGGACAACACCACACATCTTGTGTTTTTTCCATTCAAAATTTCCGATCTACTGTGGCTTATCCGGTCTTTTACTCAAAGGTATGTGTGTATTACAAAGGTAATATTTTTATTTGGTCCTGTATCTTGGTTATTTAACATTTATAATTTGAAAGTGTAGTCTTAATGCATAACTGCAAGACAAAACCCTTTGAATATACACTTTTGTATATATAAAAAGCAAAACATGTTTTATATTTTCTAAAAGAAAAAGATGAATGAAGAAAGGAGAGCCCACAAGAAACAAAAGTAATGGGAAAAAAATGATCAGAATCCGAATCGCATTTATTAGCCAAGTATGCATGCACAAACACATACAAGGAATATGGTTCTGGTCGCTGGTGTCTCTCAAGCACAACAAAGTAAAATACACAATATATGAGCGACACAATGAACAATATACATAAACCACAATATAAAAATGTCTAAATCCTTATATACAGAAAATACAGGATTACAGACATGAATACCACAGAGTGTACATAAACTGCAGTTGCAATCTGGCAGTGTGAAGCAATGTGAAAGTTCAATGGTTTAGTAGGGAAATGGCAAGGGGAAGGAAACTGTTCCTGTTTTGGGTGGTCCTGGTCTGCAGGCTTCTATACCATCTGCCAGAAGGCCGCAGGTCAAAAGGTCTGTGTCCAGGGTGTGAGAAATCTGTGATGATTTCCCCTGCCTGTTTTCTGGTTCTTAAGAGGTACGGGTCCTGGATGGAGGGCAGGGGGGGTTCCAATGACCCTTTCTGCTGCCCGTAAAGTCCACTGCAGTCTGCACCTGTCCTTTTTAGTGGCTGCTCCATACCAGACTGTGATGGAGGAGCACAGGACAGACTCAATGACCGCAGTGTAGAACTGGATCAGCAACTCTTGTGGAAGACTACACTTCTCCAGTTGTCTCTGGAAGTGCATCTTCTGCTGTGTCTTTTTGAGGATGGAGGAGATGTTAGTCTCTCACTTCAGGTCCTGGGATATAGTAATACCCAGGAACATGAAGATCTTCACAGTAGACACCGGGTGGTCTGATATGGTGAGATGGAGCAGTGTTGATGTTAATGTCTCCTGAAGTCCACTATTATCTCTACAGTCTTAAGCATGTTCAGCTCCAGATTGTTCGGACTGCACCAGAGTAACAGCGGCTCAACTTCCTGTCGATACTTACAGAAAGACATAAAAGAGAGAAATAGAAAAGTGACATGTATTGAGTTAGGTCGGAGGGGGGGGACAATGTAATTTCACATGAGATAAAGTGGCAGTAGTGAGCAGCAGTACAAATTTGAGCAGTACAAGACTAAAAGTGGCAATTAGTGCAATATTGTCTCATGAAGGGTTTGTTCCCTTCGCCTCCGGGTCGGGGAATGGATCCTGACCGTCATCTGTGCTTATGCGTTGAGTGGCAGTTCAGAGTACCCAGCCTTCTTGGAGTCCCTGGGTGGGGTACTGGAGGGTGCTCCCCCTGAGGACTCTGTTGTCCTACTGGGAGTTTTCAATGCTCATGTGGGCCATGACATCAAGACATGGAGGGGCGTGATTGGGTAGAACGGCCTCCTTGACGTGTTTGGAGACCACAGACTGGGACACAATGAAGGCTGCTTCTAACAGCTTGGACGAGTTTACGGACACTGTCACCTCCTATATCCACTTCTGCGAGGACAGCATTGTGCCATCACGCACCAGGGTGAGTTATAACAATGACAAACCCTGGTTTACTCCTAAACTCAAAAAGCTGTGGCTGGAAAAGAGAAAGGCGTTCAGAAGCGGAGACAGGGACTGCTACAGAGAGGCCAAGTACAGGTTCACTAAAGAAGTGGACATTGCTAAACATCAGCACTCTGAGAAGATGCAGCAGCAGATCTCAGAGAATGACTCGGCCTCTGTGTGGAAAGGTTTTAGGAATATCACAAACTACAAGCCTAAAACCCCCCACTCCACTGATGACTTGCTCTTAGCCAACACCCCTAACGACTTTTACTGCCGTTTTGACGAGCCATCAGGCAGCCTTCACACCTCCAACGGCCCCAACAATAGAGGCACTTTGGACACTCATTCCCCCACCTCTCCCCCCTCCATAGAGCCATCACCACCTTCAAACTGTTCACCTACAACACCCCCCTCCTCACCCCACACAAAAGAGGATTTCACACCACCTCCTCCCACCACAACTCTTCATATTCATGAAGCAGATGTGAGGAAGCAGTTTAGGAGTCTGAATGCTCGGAAAGCTCCCGGCCCAGACGGTGTGTCTCCTGCCACCCTCAGACACTGTGCAAACGAGCTGGCCCCAGTGTTTTCTGGCATTTTCAACTCCTCACTGCAGGCATGTCATGTGCCTGCCTGCTTCAAGTCCTCTACCATAATCCCTGTCCCCAAGAAACCTAGGATCACTGGACTAAATGACTACAGACCCGTGGCTCTGACATCTGTGGTCATGAAGTCATTTGAGCGCCTGGTTCGCTCCTATCTCAAGACCCTCACGGCCCCCCTCCAGGACCCCCTGCAGTTTGCATATAGAGCCAACAGGTCTGTAGACGACGCCATCAACATGGCCCTACACTTCATCCTGCAGCATCTGGACTCCCCAGGAACCTACGCCAGGATCCTGTTTGTGGACTTCAGCTCTGCCTTCAACACCATCCTTCCAGACCATCTCCGAGGCAAGCTTTCCCAGATGAATGTGCCTGATCCCATCTGCCGGTGGATCACTGACTTCCTGACGGACAGGAAGCAGCATGTGAGGCTGGGAAAGAATGTCTCGGACTCCCGGACCATCAGCACCGGCTCCCCTCAGGGCTGTGTTCTTTCTCCTCTGCTCTTCTCCCTGTACACCAACTGCTGCACCTCCACCCACCAGTCTGTCAAGCTAATCAAGTTCGCAGATGACACCACCGTTATTGGGCTCATCTCGGACGGGGATGAGTCTGCCTACAGGAGGGAGGTTGAACGTCTGGTGACCTGGTGCAGCCACAACAACCTGGTGCTGAATGCCCAGAAGACAGTGGAGATTATTGTGGACTTCAGGAAGCACACAGCCCCACTCCCCCCCATCATCCTGACTGACACCCCCATCACCTCTGTGGACTCATTCCGCTTCCTGGGTACCACCATCACCCAGGACCTGAAGTGGGAGCCCACCATCACCTCCGTCATCAAGAAAGCCCAGCAGAGGATGTACTTCCTGAGGCAGCTGAAGAAATTCAACCTGCCAACACGGACGATGATGCAGTTCTACACTGCAATCATCGAGTCCATCCTCACCTCCTCCATCACCGTGTGGTACGCTGGAGCCACTATCAGGGACAAACAGAGACTGCAGCGTGTTGTGCGCTCTGCTGAGAAGGTGATTGGCTGCAGACTCCCATCTCTGCAGGACCTGTACACCTCCAGGACACTGCGGCGTGCAGCCCGGATCTCAGCTGACCCTTCTCACCCTGGACACAGTCTGTTTGACCTGCTCCCCTCAGGCAGGAGGCTCCGGTCCATTCGCACCAGAACCTCTCGCCATAAGAACAGTTTCTTCCCCTCTGCTGTTGGACACATGAACAATAACCATATGACTGTCCCCGCCACTAACACATGACCCCACGCTGTGTCACTGCATCATTTCATGTTTGGCACTGATCACCACCTGCACTCATGTATATATCTTTCTACGTAGCACTCATAATTCTTATTCTCATGTATATATCTCATGTATATCTCATGCACATATCTTTCTACATAGCACTTTTAATTCTTATTCTTACTTTTATTTTTTTTTCATGTCTATTTAAGTGCTATTTATGACACTATGTTTGCACTGAAGCACCGCAGCAATTTCCTAATGTTGTAAACCTCAACATCTGGCAATAAACCCCATTCTGATTCTGATTCTGATTCTGATTCTGATTGATCTGAGCCCTAGAAGTGTTTTGTTATTGGACTCCTGTGCAAACCACAGTTTGGCGATAACGAACACCATGTCCCTAAGTGCACAAGGCACCAGGACACACTAAAAAGCAGGTCGATGATCGATTTTGTTTGTATCACCAGACCTGAGGCCACATGTTTGGACATTAAAAGTAATGAGAGGGGCTGAGCTGTCAATTGATAGTTTGATCAGGTGGAGGGGGAAGACAATGGACAGACCTGGTGAACCTAAACGCACAGTGGGGGTGTGCTGGGAATGTCTAGCAGAGGTCTGTGAGATCCTCAACAGCATTGAGTCCGAATGGACCATGCAGCCGCAGCTCAGTGCAGCGGCTTCTGCAATGGAGATGCTGAACAAGGTAGTTGGTGCCTGTTGTGGTGGTAATCTCTGAACCAAATGGTGGACACCAGAGGTGAGGGGAGCCACCAAGCTGCAAAAGGAGTCCTTGGTTAGCCTGTGGGACTCTGGAGGCAGCTGATAGGTACCTACCTGCACTATGTATAGTGCGGGTGGAGTGCGGCTGACTTCGATTGAGAAAATTGTCAGGCAGTGGAAGGAATACTTCGAGGACCTCCTTAATCCCACAGGCACGTCTTCCGTGTAGGAAGCAGAGTCTGGGGACAAAGGGGATAAACTGCCACTCGTGGCAGAGCCCCAGGGATGCATAAGGTCCGCCCCGAGTTCCCGAGCGGAGGGTGTGTTCAAACTACAGGCGAATCACACTCCTCAGCCTCCCTCGGAAAGTCTATGCCAGGGTGCTGGGGAGGAGAGTCCATCCGTTAGTCAAACCTTGGATACAGGGGGAACAATGCGGTTTTCGTCCTGGTTGTGGAACACTGGATAAGCTCTTCATCCTCTCAAGGATTTAGGGTGCATGTGTTTTACGGACTTGGAGAAGGCATTTGACCGTGTCCCTCGAAGGGTCCTGTGGGGGGTGCTCTGGGAGTATGGGGTGTCTGGCCAATTGCTACAGGTCATTCAGTCCTTATACAACCATTGCAAAAGCTTGGTCCGCATAGCCAGCAATAAGTTGTACTCGTTCCTGGTGGATGATGGGCTCTGCCAGGGCACCAATTCTGTTCATAACTTTTTATGGACGGAATTTCTAGGCATAGTCAAGTGGCAGAAGGCTTTCACTT